CTTGAACTAAGGGTTGTCCTGGGTAAGGGGCTGCCCCAGGGCCCATCAAAACCCTGCCATAAGGTTCATCTAGGCCCTGGGCCACTTAGGGCGCTCCCTCTGCAGCCCAGGTCTGTGGGTGGCCTAGGCTGACCGCTCCCCTTTCCCTCAGCCCTGGCCTCGGCTCTCACCTTCAAACACGGGTCCCTCAGCCACCTGGGCCTCCCCACCAGGACTCCCAGCTGCTCCCCGTGCACCTCCAGTGAAGGCTTTTTGTGTACCAGCATTCCCATCATGAGAATATTCTGAGTAACGCACGTGTTAGAAAACTCAGAAGGCAGGGGGAGTCCTCGGTGAATGCCCCTCCTGTCACACAGCCCACTGCCCCGCAGCCAGCATTCCGTGTGTCCTTCCGGAATGTGTACATACACCAGCAAACACCCTCCAATGCACCCTGCTCCACCCCGGCACCGGAGCAGCCAGGCCTCACTGTGTGCACGCTACTGTGTCCATCAGGCCTCTGCTGACGTTGGGTCACTTTTCAGTGACCGACTGAGAAACCACATACGTAGGTCCCTTCGCGGACACACACACACACACACACACACACACACACACACACACACGGACACAATGGGAGGACCAAAGTGCGGGGAAACGTGCGGTTCCGTGCATCGTGCAATACCGGCTTCCCTCCCTCCGTCCGCCAGCAGCACACACAGCTGCCCGGGTGTGGGAAGCTCTAAGCCAGAAGGGACTATGCGTGTTTTGTGGGTGGAAGTGTTAGTCAAGCTTCCTTTCCTGTTTGCATCCTTTGCCCACATGGATCAGGCTGTGGGTCTTTCTTATCCATTTATTAGAATTATTCAACTAATTCGACCTTGGCCTCTGCAGAGTTTCTGTTTCTCATTCATTTTTCTTTTTACTCTTAAGTAACTTTGGCTGTGCACAGGTTATCTGCTCTTATGTGACGTAGCTGCCTGAGAACTTGGTATTTTCCCGCCATTGAAGCCACTGCTAGGCGGTCTCCTTGATCTCCCTTGCTCTGGCTTCCTCTTCTCCCGGCCTCCTTGCCCTGCTTCTCAGGAGCCTTTGTCACCAGCTTTTTGTCCAGCACCGACTGCTGCAGAGCTCAGTGTAGCTGGGGCTGCTCCTGTTCTTCAGACACCCCACCTCCCCACCCTGTCAGGTCTCATGCAGGCACATGTCACAGCCCCCACGTTCAGGTTTCCATGGAGCTGGGCCACACGCCTGCACCCACAGCCTGCATTTCTCACTGTCCCTTAGGGGCCGGTCAGACCCGCCGGCTCTGTGCTCTGGGGAGGGCACTCGCCCACCTGGACAGCTGGCCTTGGATAACACCCCTTCTAGAAAGGCGATGTTTGCAAACTGAGTAAGACCCGGAAAGCTTGCCCGGCTTCTCAGTTTTCCTCCTCAAGCAAGATCCGTGCCCTTGTCACTCCCTGCTGCCCTGGCCCTGTCTGCCTCCGTGGTCAGCCGGGAGCCTCCAGCTCACACTGTGCACCGGGCTGGGTGCTCGGGCACAGGGGACTGTCTCGCACTGGATCCCCTTGTGCAATGCAGGGCTTGCGCACCAGATGGACGGCGGCTCTGCTGGCCTGGGTACTGCGAGCCCCCACCGCCACATCCCCTGGGGCCGCAGTGTGGCCGGCCTCCCACAAGGTGGCTCCTCGCACGCGCCCGGGCTCCCGGGAGGTGAGCAGGAGCGCCTGGACAAGGATCCCCACTGCCCGCTGGCCTGGCCCCCGGGGTCGGAGCCCGGGCCGAGGCTGTGCCAACGCGGGTGGTGGGGCAGTGCGAGGTGGCCGCTGCGACGTGTGCGGGAAGGCCTTCAGCCAGCGCAGCAACCTGCTGCGGCACCAGAAGATACACACGGGCAAGCGGCCGTTCGTGTGCGGCGAGTGTGGCCGCGGCTTCAGCCGCAGCTCGCACCTGCTGCGCCACCGGGTGACGCACACGGGCGAGCGGCCGTTCGTCTGCGGGGACTGCGGCCAGGGCTTCGTGCGCAGCGCGCGCCTGGAGGAGCACCGGCGGGTGCACACGGGCGAGCAGCCCTTCTCCTGCCCCGAGTGCGGCCAGCGCTTCTCGCAGGCGTCCGGGCTCACGCAGCACCTGCGCACCCACACCGGCGAGCGGCCCTTCGCCTGCCCCGAGTGCGGCAAGGCCTTCCGCCAGCGGCCCACGCTCACGCAGCACCTGCGCGTCCACACCGGGGAGAAGCCCTTCGCCTGCGCCGAGTGCGGCCGGCGCTTCGGCCAGAGCACCCGGCTCATCCAGCACCAGCGCGTCCACCGCGCGGAGGAGCGGCGCTCCCGACCCCGTGCCCAGCTCGGGCCTGTGCCCACGTGGGGAGGGGACACACCGGCCTCACAGAGCGATGAGGCCGCCGCCGCACAGGTGCCAGCGGGCAGGCCCGTAGATGCTCAATAAACAGAAGGAACCTGGGTCTGGGTGTCCACGCACGCAATGCCACCCACTGCGCGGCCCTCTCCAACACACACCCACCCTTCCCGCTGCAACCCCGCGGTCCGCGAGCGCCGTGACCCCGAGAGGTGCTCCTGGCAGCAGCTGCACGTCTGTGGGTGCCTCCTCCATGACTCCGGTGCGGTTCGCCCGAGATGCCTTCCACACACACACACCCGCTGCCCCAGCCAGCTGCCGGGGGACCCGACGGCTGGTTTTCCCCTGCAGCCCAGACACAGCCTGGCATGTTTTTGTAAAACCTTAAACCTGGGAAGACGTCCCTGAGGTGAGAAAGCTGGGTGATTCTATCTGGAAACACAACCTGCGGGACTTTCTCCCAACCCCTATGGCATAGGGCCTATGGGAACAGGGGTCGGTGGCAGGCCCCAGGCCAGGTCCCAGCCCCTGGGCTGCACTTCCGCCCTCACTCCTCTCCCATCCAGTTCTGCCCTCCCTGAGGCTCTGGCCCAGCTTCCCTCGGGGCTTGTGCACGTGCCAAGCGCTGGCTGCCTCCCAGAGGCTGCAGGCCCCTCCGCAGGCAAACCACCAGTGCCCTCTGGGCGGACACAAGGGTGACAAAGACCACTTTCCAGTCCAGCCGCTGCCTCAGTTCGGCCATCCCCTCCCGCCCTTCCTGGTCCAGCCCCCATGGCCTCCTTCACTCAGAATTTCCTGCGCGGTTGAGTCTAGGTCACGAAGTTAGACACCACACTAGTCCAGCTTTGGCCAGTCCAGCATCACCTCTGCAATAACCTGTGCCCAGAGGAGCCTCAGCAACTGGCCAGGCTGGCCAAAAGGTTCCCCGAGACCACGGCTGGAAAAAGATGGCCATCCATCCACCTCACGAGGAGGCCAAAACGACAAAGCAGAGCGGCTAACAAGAAGGAGAGGAAGGGCCAGAGGGAAAGGGCTGAGTCTGTCTGCAGCCTGAGACCGCCGACATGTACCCCAGCGCCCCGCCAGCAATCAGCTTTCTGGGCTCCAGAGGGGACGCCGGGGCTGCGAGGCTGTGCGGCCAGGGGGCTGCAGGGCGCATGTGGGGCGGCGGCATGGAGGCCGGAAGGAGGGGCAGTTGCTGGGGTCAGCCCACCCGGCCCGGGCGCCAAGGGTACCGGCGCTCACGGGGCAGAGCCTCCGCGGAGGCCGGCGGCAACTCGCTGCGCTGAGGACGGGGTGCGGTGGACGCCGGTCCGTCCCGGGAGGGGGGCGTCAGGGCCACTGCGCCGAGCTGAGAACCGCGCGCCTGGGACCGGGGGGTCTGCGTCTCCCCAAAAAGGGAAGCCCCGCCAGAACTGCCCATCCCGGCCCTGCCCGGGCGACCTACCTCCTCACCGGCCGGAAGGTTCCCGCGGTGACGCCAAAAATGGCAGAACCACTCACGCCGCTGCGTCCCGCCCACCGGAGCATGCGGAGCTGTGATTGGAGGAGAGGCTGAGTCCGCCCACCACGCCCGTGGCGGCGCCGCGGGAACCCCAGACCCACGCTGAGGTGGCCCTGCCACCCAGTCTTCCCTTATTACATTTCACTGGTACAATATATGTTTAGTTATTTTAGCTCCACCTGAGTCTCCGCGAGCGGGTGGTTGGGGTTGGCGATGGGGCATGAGGGTGCTCCATCCCGTATCCTCCGAACAAGACCCCTGGCCTCACCCCAGGCCCCAGCCCCGGCATCACCAGGCCCCTGTCTGTGACCTCCGGGGCAAGGGCCTCGCTTGACCCCCCCCACCCCCCCCCCACCTCCCCGGCCACGGTCTGCAGTAGGGCCAGGGGGATTTGCCGGACCGCAATCGATGCGGACTGCCCCAATTAAAGATGGCGGCGACGCCGTCCCCTGCCAGGACCCGCGAGCGTTCCCGGAAGTGACCGAGGGACGCCCCGCACGAGCGGAAATACTCGAGCCCAGCCGAGGGAACCCGAACTCAGCCCCGTCGCGGACCATCGCTGGGCGGGGACCGCGGCGGCTGCGCAGGCGCACAGCGCAGGCCGGGCGGGAAGAGCCGAAGCGCGGACTGGAGGCGGAAATATCCGAAGTGCTGGGGCGCCCGAGGCCGTTGCGGACCTCCGCGCCGAAGCCGCCGCTGCTGCCGCGGAAGCCGGCCTCCTCCAGGACACGGCCGCCGCCACTGCGGTCGCCACCGCCTCCTTTCACCTCGAGCCGCATCCTCTTCACGGAGGGGGCGAGGGAGCGGACGGGCGGCGCGGCCCAGCGAGCCCGCGTCCGCAGCTGGGCCTGAGAGACCGGAGCGGCGAGGGGGCGGGGGAGCGGCCGGTGGGGGCGGGGCGAGGGGCCGAGGACCGCCGAGTCCGGCCGAGCGCCGCCGAGCGAGGCCGAGGCGCCGGGCCAGGCCGGAGCCGGACTACGGGAGCCGACGCGGGCCGCGCTGTGGGCGCGGAGCGGCGCGGCAGGCCGGACGGGCCGCGGCAGCAGCGGAGGAGGCCGCGGCGGCCGGTCCGAGTGGCGGAGGCGGCGCGGGCAGCGGCGGGGGGCCGGGCGGCCGGGGTCCCGGGCCCCGCGGCGGCGGCGGCGGCGGCAGCAGGATGATCAAGCTGTTCTCGCTGAAGCAGCAGAAGAAGGAGGAGGAGTCGGCGGGCGGCACCAAGGGCAGCAGCAAGAAAGCGTCGGCGGCGCAGCTGCGGATCCAGAAGGGTAGGGGTCGGGAGGTGGGGTGGGGTCGGAAGTCCGGGCTGGGGTGGGGCGATGAGGGAGCCGGGAGCGGGGTGGGGTGCTCGCCGGGGGTCGGGGGGTCCGAGTTGGGGAGGCCGTGGATGGAGCGGGTCGGAGGTCAGGGCCTGGCTTTGCGGGGATGGAGGACCCGAGATGGGGTAATGCGGTCGCCGGGGTTTCAGAGGTTGGGGGACACCGGATGGGGCATCGAGGATATTCAGAAAGGCAGGCGTTTGGTACTGGGGACTGAGCCCGGGGTCGGGCGGGAACCTGGGTGGCAGGGAGAGTAATGGGCAGGATTTCGTGGGTTATGCCGGGGTCCCTGGGAAGGAAGAGTCCGATGGGGCCGAGGAGGTTTCAGGGCGTGGGGTCCGTGTGGTCTGAGTTTGGGTGACAGGTGTGGGAGGAAGGGATGGTGGGTACCAGAGAGAAGCAGACAAGAGTGGTAGAACGTGGGGGAGGCTGGGGACTCACGGGTTTTGGGTGACAGGATGGTGGGTTGGGACGCGGGATTGGTGAAGGGATGACTTAGGGTATGAGGGGCAGGGTCCTTGGGTTTGGGTGGCAGATGGGGACTAGCAGAGTCACTAGACAATGGGTCTTGGCTGCGGGTCCTGGGGTTTGAGGTAATTAGTGGCTTCGGGGGAACCCTTGGGAGTGGGGGCTGCTAGGAGCTGGGTTGGGGGGCCCAGCTGTAGAGTAAAGGGATTTGGGACTGTAGGTTAAGAAGCCGCAGACGCAAGGCCACAGGCTCCATTGAATTTGCATGTTTGGGGTGTGCTGTGGAGCCAGAAGATCCTGCTTGGAGACTGGGGAGAGGGTTGGGGGTGTGAGGCACAGCCCCAGGTCCAGGGAGGAGACCATAGGGCCTGCTGAGCACCCTCCCCTCTCCTCCCCTTGCCTCTCTTGGTTCCCCTTCTCTGCACTACAAACCCAGACATAAACGAGCTGAACTTGCCCAAGACGTGTGACATCAGCTTCTCAGACCCCGACGACCTCCTCAACTTCAAGCTGGTGATCTGTCCCGATGAGGTGAGGACACAGCCCGCCGCCGGACACCCAGGCCCTGGCTGGGCTATGGCCCCGTCTGAGGAGGGAGGCCTGGTTCCCCTGCCAGGCCCCGAGGGATGGCGCTGAGGCTTTCCTTCTCTCCCCTCCCAGGGCTTCTACAAGAGCGGGAAGTTTGTGTTCAGTTTTAAGGTGAGTCTCAGGTGGGCCGGGGTGGCCCCTGAGCTGCCGAGGCAACGGCTGAGGCCCAGCCAGACTGGGGGCCCCTGTCCACCTCCCTCTTTTCCCGGACCCAGGTGGGCCAGGGTTACCCGCATGACCCCCCCAAGGTGAAGTGTGAGACGATGGTCTATCATCCCAACATTGACCTCGAGGGCAACGTCTGCCTCAACATCCTCAGGTGAAGGCCTGGCCCGCCCCTGCGCTCCCCAGCCCTCCCGCCAGGCCCCGCCATGGCCTTGCACTGACCCAGTGTCCATCCCTTTCCTCCCCCCTCCCTCCCCCCCCGTGCTCTGTCCCTGTGTCTCTTCACTTCTGTTTCCTTCCTTGTGGCTTGACCTTGACTTTCTCCCTGGCCTGTGCCACCTCTGTGTGCACCCTCCCCCAGCCTCATAGCCACATTGTCCTGTGCCCTGGGCCTGGCCAGTCCTGTGGCAGCCACCCACCCACCGGCCCCTGAACCTCATGCTCTCTGCCCACAGAGAGGACTGGAAGCCAGTCCTTACGATAAACTCCATAATTTATGGCCTGCAGTATCTCTTCTTGGTGAGTAGGGGTGGTGGGTAGGCCTTGAGAGGTTGGCCCCCTGCCACTCAGGCCTGTTGACCCCCTCCCCCCCACTTATACTGGCCACAGGAGCCCAACCCCGAAGACCCACTCAACAAGGAAGCTGCTGAGGTCCTGCAGAACAACCGCCGACTGTTTGAGCAGAACGTGCAGCGCTCCATGCGAGGTGGCTACATCGGCTCCACCTACTTTGAGCGCTGCCTGAAATAGGGTCGGCGCACACCCACCCCTGCCAGGGCCACCCGCCCCGGCGTCCCCTGCAAATATTTATTGGGGGCCACAGGTGGGGGGATGGGGGCCGCAGGTGGGGTAATTCCATGCCCTAGCCTTGCCTCCCCTTCCTGTCACCGGCTCCTAGTTATTTTTTTTTTAACCACCACGTGATTACGGTCGGAGCTGCCTCCTCCCGACCCGCTCAGCGATGGGAAATGAATTGGCTTGTCTAGCCCCCTGCTGGGTGCCATACAGCCTCCCACTCTGGGCTCTGGGGTGGGTGGCCAAGGGGACTGGGTGGCTGGGGGCCTGCCACCCCATTCCTCCACCACTGGAGGTCCCACCAGGCTATTAAAGGGGAATGTTACTGCACGGCCTCCGCCTCTTCCTTCAGTGGGGCGGGAGGGGCAGGCGATGTCCAGCTCGGCTCCTGGGGGCTGGGAGGGGCGGGTCCACTCTGTGGTGAGAAGGGGGCGGGACCCGGCTTCCAGTGGCTGTCTGGCCGGTAGGCCAGCTCGAAGAACGTCCGTGCCATCTCCACCCCGCCCCTCTGCTTGGGTACCCAGCCAGGGGAGGACCCTGCCAGCTGCTGCCCGGTGCTGAGCCGTAAACATCAGGGAGGAGTCCGAGTCCCCTGAGTTAACTGACCCTGCGGTGCGCTGCGTGGTGTGGCGGGAGGTGGGACTGCGGTCCCGCACTGCGGGCGTGGCTCCACCGGGGCGGACCTGTGCACGCCCTCCGGCTAGTCGCGGGGACGCGGGCACTACTGCGCATGCGCCGGGGCTCCGGCCAGCCGCAGAGCGCGTGCGTGGTTTTGCCACCTCCCCGCCTTCCGGGAGTGGGCGGGGCCTGCGACGTCAGGTCGTTTAATCCGGAAACGGCGGCGGCGACCGAGGCGACTGAACCGAGGGGTTGTCGTTGGTGGGCGCTCCCGGGATTCGAGCGAGAGGCTCGTAACCCGGAAGCGGAAGCGGGTTCCCGTCCCAGCTTCGGTGAGTGGCCCTTGCCAGGCCGCGGGTCCCGGGTGGGCGCGTGGGCGGCCAGGTGCGAGGGGCCGCGCCCTTCCCGGGACCCTGGCCTCGCTGTCTGGGCGCAGGGCCCCACCCCCGCGATGGTGTACCGAGGCCCCCGGCCCCCCAGGTTTACTCCGCCCCCGGTTCCTTAGCGTCTGGGCCCGACAGGAATGCGGTCCGTACGCTGTCAGCCTGGCCCTCGGGGCCTCCCCTTAGTTTGCTCTCCCGCGAGGACCGCCCACTACTGCCCTGACCCTAGCGGCAAGGGACCCCAGCCGTCCACCTCCAGGCTCCTCAGGCGCCAGCCCCGCAGGGTCCCGCGGCCTGGAGGGTCCGGGCGCCGATGGAGAAGGGCTGGCGCGGGCGCTGTGACCCTCCTCAGCCTTCGTCCCCTCTGCCCCTGGGGGACCCCCACACTTGGGCTGCGCGCCTTTGGCTTTCTAGTCACGCCTCCTCTCCGTCCCCCTCCTGTCTGGCCCCTCCATCCAAGCTGCCTCTCTGGGCCCCCTGCCGCCGCAGCTCGGCTTCCCACCGGCCCCAGGCCCAGGGGCGGGCCCCGCCGCCATGGACCTGTTGTTCGGGCGCCGAAAAACGCCCGAGGAGCTGCTGCGACAGAACCAGCGGGCGCTGAACCGCGCCATGCGGGAGCTGGACCGTGAGCGGCAGAAGCTGGAGACCCAGGAGAAGAAGATCATCGCAGACATCAAGAAGATGGCCAAGCAGGGCCAGATGGTGAGCGCAGGGGGCAGAGGCAGCCGGACAGGATTCCACAGGCAGGTGCTGCCCGGCCAGGGGAGGGAAGAGTGAGCGGGCTGCCTCCCAGGAGGTGATGCCTGAGGCAAACCTTGAGGAATGAAGAGGAAGAGAAAGTGTGATCCGGGCTGCAAATGTCAGATGTGTGCACAGGAAGGGGGAGGGGGAGGGGGAGGGTTGATGGCAGGAGACAAGCCTGGACACTGACCTGCAGGCTGGACCCTGCCTGAGCGAGTGAGCAGAGCCTTGGGGGCTGCAGCGTTGGGGCCTGTACAGCTAGGGTGAAGTGGAATATGGGCAAGGCCAGGAAGGGGTTTGGGGTGTCAACAGCTGAGCTTGGAGTTAGTTGAGGGTCAGGCCTGTGGTGAGGTGGAAGGGCAGCAGATTCTTGGGTTAAGGGGAACCTCAGACACAGGGTCAGAAGTGAGAAGCCTAGCCAAAACCGGTTTTGCTCAGTGGATAGAGCGTCGGCCTGCGGACTGAAGGGTTCCAGGTTCGATTCCGGTCAAGGGCATGTGCCTTGGTTGCGGGCATATCCCCAGTAGGTAGGGGGTGTACAAGAGGCAGCTGATTGATGATTCTCTCTCATCGATGTTTCTAACTCTATCCCTCTCTCTTCCTCTCTGTAAAAAATCAATAAAAATATATATATTTTTTAAAGTGAGAAGCCTGGGAGCCAGGCAGTGGCAGGTGGGCGCAGTGGGACCATTGGGTTTAGCCACACAGGTCTCGGTTCTCCCCCTCCACCGGGGCTCCCTGCCACCTTGTGCCCCCTCAGGACGCCGTGCGCATCATGGCCAAGGACCTGGTGCGCACACGGCGGTATGTGCGCAAGTTCGTGCTGATGCGGGCCAACATCCAGGCTGTGTCCCTCAAGATCCAGACACTCAAGTCCAACAACTCCATGGCGCAAGCCATGAAGGGTGTCACCAAGGCCATGGGCACCATGAACAGACAGGTGGGTCTCTCCCTTTCCCCTCGCTGCCCACCCCGCAGGACCCTGCTCACCCTCCTCCCACCCATTGCAGCTGAAGCTGCCCCAGATCCAGAAAATCATGATGGAGTTTGAGAGGCAGGCAGAGATCATGGACATGAAGGAGGAGATGATGAACGATGCCATCGATGATGCCATGGGGGACGAGGAGGATGAAGAGGAGAGGTTTGCGGACCCAGGTGGGAGGAGGGAGCAGAGGTATGGCCCTCAGGGGACTGACCGAGTTTTCCTCCCCCAGCGATGCTGTGGTGTCCCAGGTCCTAGATGAGCTGGGACTGAGCCTGACGGATGAACTATCCAGTGAGTGCTTCCAGCCTCGGGCCCCGACCCCACCCCGACCCCCCTCTTGGCATTGCTGCTCACAGGGCTCCCATCCCCTCTCCTTGCAGACCTCCCCTCCACTGGAGGCTCCCTCAGTGTGGCTGCTGGTGGCAAGAAAGCAGAAGCTGCAGCCTCTGCCCTGGTGGATGCCGATGCAGACCTGGAGGAAAGGCTTAAGAACCTGCGGAGGGACTAACAGCTCCAGGCCCCGGAGGGCACTCTCCCTGTACCCTTCCTGTAATTAATAAAAGATTGGACACTAGTCCCTGCACCTGTGTGACTGGCCCAGTGTGGGCCAGACTGGAGTTGCTTGTGCAGGGGTCACTCTGTATGGCTGCCATAGAGATGGTGTCAGAGGATTTGGGGGTGTGCTGGGAGGATAAGGATGGACTAACCTAACCCTGCCTCCACACTATCCCCTCCAGAGGGGTGGCTCCTGGGAGGAGCGGAGAGGCCTGTCTGCCAGATGGCTCACAGGAGCCAAGCCCAGAGATAGTTATAAGCCTCCAGTGTGTGCGCCCTCCCAAACGGGGTGCTCATCACCAGGGCCCAGAGAGATGCTCTTCCCACTGTGGACATCGGAACAATGGCCCCATCCTACTCAGCCCACCAGAGCTTTGGGAGGGAGATGTTGGCAGAGATCAGGCCCAGGGAAACGGCCCCCACCAATCAAGACAGGAGGAACTCGTGAAGTTTTTATTAAATCCACAGAAGTAAAAACCATAGTGAGGGGCCAGGGAACAGGGCTACCAAGGAGTGGGAGCCAGACCACCAGAGGGAGGGGCAGGGCTGACGGGACACACCAGGCCGAGCTGGCTCAGGGACCATCACCAGAGCCACTGGCCAGCTCCTGGGCGCTCAGGCCGGCACCAGGCAGGCTCAGCGGCGGGGGCTCCACCAGCACGGCAGAGAACTTGGTGTCGCCAAACGCCTCGTTCATCCGCGTCTCAAAGAAGCGCTGCAGGCCGATGATGGACTGCACGTCCGCCTTGTCCTGGGCGCAGAGTCGGAGGTGGGTTCCCACTCGCCCCAAACCCCAGCCAGCCCGAGCCCAGCCCCTCCAGACTCACCTCCGTCAGCTTGTTGAACTGCTTGAACATGCGGCCCACGTCCTGGGCAAACTCTTGAGGGGAGCTGTAGGGGGGCGACAACTTCTCCTGGAGGCGGGCGCGGATCAGGGTCAGGTCCAACGTGCCGCCAGGCTGATCCTACAGGCAGAGGCCACAGGCTGTGGGTGAGAACAGGCAGCTCATGCCCCGCCCACCCCCCTCAGGTCCCAGGACTCACCACAGAAAAGCTGGAGTCGGTAGCCAGCTGGTGCAGGGGCCGGCAGGGCTCATGGCAGAAAAGGGCCAGCAGGACACGCTCACACTTCTGTGGACAGTCGGGCAGAACACATCAGAGCACAGTTGGGGACAGGGGCATGCAGCTGCTGGGCAGCCACGGGACGGACCCCCTCACCTGCTGGTTGGCTGGCGAGAGCTTGGCCACCACGCCACTGCTGTCCCCGCCGCCCAGGCTCAGGCTGCCATCCTCCTCCTTCAGGTCAGGCAGCACGTGGCAGAGCGAGCAGCTCCACTCCTCGCCGGGCACGTCCTGCAGGGCCGGCAGGTGGCAGTCCAGGTGGAAGCAGAACTCGCACTGGTTGCACATGACCAGGTCGCCTGGCTTCTGGCAGACGCGGCAGATGGTGGCGCTGTCGTCCAGGGCCCCAGGGCCGCCGGCGGGGACTGAGGTGCCCTCGGGAGCCACCACCTCCAGGCCGGAGCTGGTGCTGCCGCTGGGGGAGACCAGGCGGGGCCCCTCCACGCCGGGACCCTCCCCCAGAGCCATCAGCACCGGCTTGGTCTCTGGGCCCTCGCTGGCCGGCGGGGCGCCGATGGCAGCCTCTGTCTCTTCCTCCTGGAAGGAGAGACAGGCTCTGCAGGGTGCCGGCCTCGGCAGAGGTCCTTCATTCGCCCGCCTCGGCCAACTGGGGAAGGCTCACCTTGACAATGGCCATGCCAGGTAGGGGCTGGGCACCAGCGGCGCTGGGCGCAGTGCCCGGCTGCCCGGCGGCGGCAGTAGCCCCGCGCTCGATGACAATCAGGTTGTAGTCCTCAGTGGTGCTGCCAGGGAAGACCTTGAAGACTGGTGGCTGGCTGTCACCGGTGAGGTCCAGGTCCAGGCGCTCGAGGCTCACCCGGGGCACCTTGCGCATGAGGCCGCTCACTTCGCCCTCCCCGGAGCGGGACCTGTGGGTGGCAGCGTGGTGTGAACACCCTATCTACCCAATGCCCGCCGGCTCCCAAGAACAACACTCACCGCTTCATGCCGGACACGTGGGGCTCGGCGCTCATGTAGGAGTCGTCTGCTCAGGAGAGAGGGGAGACGGTGGGTGGGTGGAGCTGGCGCACTGAGCTCTCCCACCCACCACAGGCCAGACCCACTCACCTGATGCAAAGCCATAGCCCTCCTGCACATCCATGGGCTGCAACAGAGCAGATGGGACTTCAGTGGGCAGGCGTCCAGAGGACCACACACCCCTCTCCCCGGGGCCCTGCGCCTCCCACCTGGCTGCCGCCAGCACCCTGCTTGCTGCTCAAGGGCCCCGGAGCCCGGGGCGGGGCCATGGGCGCAGGGCCCGTGGAGTTGGTGCCAGGACGCTCTGCCACGATCTTGCCGAAGGCCTCGGCGCTCTTGGTCCAGGCGTTGAGGTCCCACTGGAACTTCATCTCGCCGTGCGGCTCCACAGGGTCCACGATCATCTTGAGCGCCCGGTGCAGCTGGAAGTAGATGAGCTTCTTGGAGAGCAGGAGGGCCGTGTTGTTGTCGCTCTCCAGGGCCCACGAGGCGAAGCGCAAGATGTGCTCCTGGTGCTTCTGGATCTTGGTCATGGTCCAGTGCTGCCGCTCCAGGCGCTCCTGCTGCCCCTCCGTCACCTTCTGTGCTCAGAGGGGGACGGGGGTCAGGTGGAACGTGGGCCAGGATCCCCCCCCCATGCAAGGATGGGGCCAGCGGGGGTGCTGGTCCCAGGACCCGCCCCCACAGGCATACCTGGGCGTCATTGACCAGCACGCGGCCCCGCTTGTTCAGCTCCTTCATGATCTGCAGGATGGCCATCTTCACATCCACCTGCACACGCTTCTGCACGTCGGACACCTGGCGAATCCTGGGGGGAGGGGCCGGTCAGGTCTAGTCAGGCTGTACCCCGGGGGCGACCAGGGCCCTGGAGAACACTTACGAGCTGCGAACCTCCTTGGTGTTCTTCTGCAGCGTGGCGTGCTTGTCCCCGAGGCGCTTCACCAGCGAGGCCAGGAGCTTGCGCTGGTTCCTCACGGCATCCTCCAGGAACTGATACCTGGGGGCAGACAGGCGGGCCTGGGCGCTGAGCACGGAACAGGGAGGCAGGCTCCCCCCACCCTGGGACTCACTGGTGGTCCTTGTGGGCGTTGAGCTGGCAGTCCCGGCAGGTGAGGGTGTCGCAGCTCTCGCAGAACAGGACGAGCGGCTCATGCTTGTGCACGGTGCAGTACACCGTGCGCTCGCCGTCTCGGGACTTGGCTGGCCCTGGGGAACAGGGACGGGAGGACCGCATCCTCAGCTCCTCCAGCCCAGGGACCTCGCTCCCTGCGGGTCCTGCAGCCCTGGCTGTCTCTGGTGAAGCCCAGAAGCAGTGGCCACAGCCCTCTGCCCCACCCCCACCCCCACCCCCTGCCACAGGTCAGCTCCAGGAGATGCAGTGTGAGGGTAATGGACCCTGGAGAGTTGCTCGGCTTCCAATGCCACCCCCCCCCTTCTACACTCAGTTGGCTCTGTCCAGCAAGGGAGGGGACTGGAGGCCGAGGCATCCCAGCACGAAGAATACCTGCTTTTTGGCACACACAGGAATCAGTATTCCCTCAGGAGCCACACCTGGAGCCCTCCCCCCTGCTCCTACAAGCACAGGCCCACAAGGGGCCTTGCCAGCTCTGGCGATGGGAGCATTGTCAGACCTGGTACAGGCCCCCTTCCTGTGAGGGAGGATCCCCACCTCAGACCCTGTCACCATTAGGATGCTGGGGCATCTGTTCCTTTCCTCCCCAAATCTAAAAGCACCCCCACTACACCAACCCCACCCCACAGACAAGCCAGGCTTGGGCTCCTTCAGGACAGCCTCCTCCTGCACCCTGACCTTAGCCTAAATCCTGGGATCCCCAGATCTCCACCCTCTACCCTTTCCCTCCTGGTTCACCAGCTCCAAGGACTCCACCTCCACCCTCCGCTTCCCATCAGTAAGCATGGTCCTGGGCTGGAGAGCCAGGGAACTACCACAGGCCACTAGTGGGGAGACTCAGGAGGGAAGCCCAAATGACCTTACTGACAAAACACTCCAGGACTCGCTGAGGTTACGGCCTGAGCCCTCACAGCTAGTGAGGCTCTGGCACCAACAGAGGCCTCGCCGGTGCCAGGAAACCCCAGGTCCAGGAGGCCCCTCTTCCCAAGCCTCACACTCATCTCAGTGTCTGCACCTGCCATATCTCCACCGCTGGTCTTCCGCTCCCTGGGGCTTCCCTGCCAGGCACTTGCCTGAACCCCCTGCAGGTCCTCTGACCTACTGAGGTCCCCCCTGGGCTTTCCCGGACTGTCCCCTAGAGAAGCTGCAGGACCCACCACCTTCAACCACCTCATCAGCGGGTGCCAGCAGGGCCTCCCCTGCCCCCTGCCCCCTGCGCACCCGTGGAGCGCACAGTGTGGTCCTTGGTGTACTTGACCCGCTGGTGCGCCTCCACGCAGGTCTCACACAGGGGCTCGGAGCACTCCACGCAGTAGCTGGTGGCTGGGGCGTTATCCTCGCAGCTGGTGCAGCACTGCTGGGCGAAGGCAGAGTCAGGGAACCACCCCCAGAGAGGCTTCCCGCTGCACCGCGAAAAACCTGAGGTGCGTGGTCCAGGGCCCCCCAATGCAGGGACAGTGGCGCCTGGATCGGCGCCCCTCCCAATGGCCGAGGCCTCCCGGGGTGTCCAGGGCAGGACCCACCTGATTGGCGTCCTGGGAGTCAGTGGGGGCCTTGCTGCCACTGTCACGCATGAAATAGTTCTCCACAATGTCTTTGGAGAAGCATTGCTGCTTGCACACGGGACAGTCCACGACTGCTGAGAGGAGGGACCAACGAAGCCATTGCAGGATCACAGCCAGGAAACACCCCCATCCCCGCACCGGCCCCCAACCTCGGCC